CCACAACTTTTTTTGCGAATTTAAAGATTTTTAATAAGACATGAATAAGGGTCGTCGAAAAGGGCAGAACTACGTCTGCCTGGCAAGCTAGTTGATTATATTATTTGATTGGTCACGTAGAAAGAATGAATAAGGAAAGAGTGACAAAGCAAATTTATGTTAGAGGAGTGAACGGCAGAGTCGAGAAGGGACGCCCTAGGCGAAAGTTTATAGAACAAATTGGCGATATTTTGTAAATTGGCTAAATTAAGAGTACCCTTAACCGTGGAGCATGTATCTGGAGGAGGCGAAGAGGTGTGTCAGGATTGCGACAAATAAAAGTCCGACTGCCTACCCTTTGATCGACGCGTGAGTATTTATGTATATTTTTTATATAATAAGGATGACAAACGAGCACACAGTCCAGCTAATGGTAAGTGGATGCTGTGGCCCATAGACATCTACATTTATCCTCGATTAAGAATCAAAACGCAGATGCGCTGTTCCCTGAGGACTAAGATGAAATGCCTCGGGTCTTCCTATACTCAAAATCCCTATACTCACCATATGAAACACAGAAGTATTAAGCTGCTATTTTACGCTGGTATTCTGTGAGAGCGTCGTCATATAGCGGCAGCGTGGCTCTACCACGTTTATGCAAGTATTATGTATTATTTGATTGCTGCATAGATATAGACAGCAAAAGGGAAATAAATTCAGGCATCACAAGTCAATATATTTTTTAAACAAAAATATATTCGCTATGGACGGAATTCGTCGTAAGTGATAAATGTCTGCATAAGGGTCTATTATTTAATTACGTATTTATTTAAGTATACAAATGCATCATCATTTGAATACGATAACTGTTGATTAAGTAATTGAACCCATGGCCATCTGCTTGTTTACCTCCTCAGAGCCCTCTACGGTGGGGTAGCCTCAACCCTTACCGCGTCCGGCCACCCTCGGACATACGTTTTTTATCACGTGGCAAACAAACTGCATTAACGAGAAATATCAGTCCCGGAAACACTTCACGGCACATATCAGATTTGTTCAATATTTAAATGTCTTTGTTTATTCATAACCGAGATTAAACTTAATCAACTGGTTGCATGAGATCTCTCTGTCTCTCTTCATAGGAGCCCGTTTGTGCAGGTACCATTCTTTTATGTATTTCTGCAAATAAGTAACAAGGCACTAATGAATAAGTTAAATCAAATCGTATTTGACATACCGTCTAGACTACATGTTTTATCTTTGCTCCTCAAAATATCGTATTGTTAATGTTTAAACTTAGTGCTAAGAAAAATAAGTTTTGTAACAAGTATATCAACACTTTAGTTATCATTCTATACCGTACTTAACTCATTTAAAGTGGTGAATTTCAAGTGTTCTAATATTTTGTTTAATAATTTTAACATAAGTTTACCGTCAGTTAGTGTTAATGAGTTGTGTTTTGATAAAACGCGTAAGCGACACAATCTGCACGGGGCTTAAGACGTTTTTGTCGTAACTTTACTTTACCACCGATTCCGGCGGCGGCCTTAACTTGGAGTTGATATTTATTAAATTCATACGGCGAAGAAAGCAGATAATTTCATTTCACTTAAGGTGAATCCCTGACCAAAATGTTGCGAAAGTGCGTTTTTCAGACTCTATTATCTCATTAGTTATGAAAAATTAACTACATCTAAAAGTACATTATTAATGTTCGATATCTTATCATCGCATTCCACGTTCTAATTTATTTTTATGTGCTATAAATACATTTAAAATCAACTTTTAAAAAATGACTAAAATTCTTGATTACATGCATCTGTTGCTAAACGATAAATAATTAAAAAATCTATACTCTCCACGTTTTAATTAAATTTTTAAGTTTTTTTTTTAATTGAAATAATTCCGAAAATTGTGTGACTTCTATGATAAAGGGGCGTGCGCAGAGTGCGGGCGGCATTACGCTGTATGCGTTCATACGAGGTGGCCGCGTCGCTGGTCGCCGCGCGTCCGTATTTCGCCGCAAACATAATATTATTTGAGTACCTACCAACCGATGCGCTTACGTCACGGTATATTGTAACTCGGCCGTATCTTAGAAATAAATATTACAGCCGCGCGGTACGTAAACATGCGATAGGGATGCCTGCCTCCAGCATTTTTACATTTGCCCATTGATTTATGTGTTTTATAACTCAATGCATTTTCCTACTTTGTGTTTCCATTTAGTTTTATGATTGTACTTAAATATAATTTTTTATATAAACAAATATATAATAGGTACTTTGTGAATTGAATAGGAAGTGTTCAATAAAAATGCGTGTCGTTTTATGATTGGTAGATTTAATTAAAAAACCATGTTTATGTTTGAATAACAAATCGGTCTTATAAATTTGCGGCTGAAAAATATTTGCGCCTCGGCTGAGACGTACGAAATGCTTTATTATTAAAATTTTAAATATAAAAAATCCGCATTATAATATAAAGCTTAATTAAAAATTGTTTTGGGAAACATGGACAAGTTGGAGTAAAGGAATATCTTTTACTTGGTTATAGATACCTGCAGCTACTTTACAATTTATATGTTTGGTTTTAAATGAAGTTTGGATTTATTATTTTTTTATTTTTATTCTATTTTCTGAAAGGGTCCTAGGAAAGGAATTATCACTGCGTGTTGGCGAACTTTGCATGTCTTCGAAATATTTTTTTTCTTATTTCTCAGACATGCAGGTTTCCTCACAATGTTTTCCTTCACCACTGAGCACGTGGTAAATCAACACTTAAAATTGCAATTACAATATTATTGGTGCCGGCGGGGATCGAACCCGGTTTGCTCGCACACTGTGAAAATTTTACCAAGCGCTAACCATCTTAGCTACCACGGCTCCTCTCCTCTCGAGCTAGAGACTTTATTTTATTTATCGTCAGGCCTGTTGGTCTATTGGTTAGTGACCCTGACTGCTATGCCGCAGGTCGTGGGTTCGATTTCCACCCAGGACAAATGTTTGTGTGATGAGCACGATCATTTGTTCTGTGTCTGGGTGTAATTTATCTATAATATTTATGTTTTAGAAATATATAAGTATGTTTATCAGTTGTCTAGTACCCATAACACAAGCTCTGCTTAGCTTGGGACTAGATGGCGTTGTGTGATAGTTGTGGAATATTATTATTATTATATTATTATTATTGGGGTATCTGTATAGTTTCTCATCTGGTTGGTTTTTATAAATATAAATTAAAATTGAAAGATAAATATACATAAATATCAATAAAATAAAATAAATACAAAAAAATATACAAATAAATAAAGATCCAACCATATTAAATAAAAAATAGTCTCCTATCTTTCTCTCTATGTTTTGATCTCCTAAAACGAGTTTGAGTTGGTAAAATCAAGGCAAACTTAGGGTAGGGTTGTCAATTATTATTTTGATAATAAAACTAGTGAAATTCCGCGGTTTTATATGCGCAAGCGTGAACGTAGTTAGAACATAATATAACCTTTATGTTTTACATAAATATCCTAAAAAACTTATTATTTTAATATTTTACTAAGTACCTATAAAATTAACAAGTTTATTGCATTTTTATTTGAGTAATTTTTTATGCAATTTCTTTATCTACGTCTATTTTTAGGAACCTTTATTTAGTCTGAATCATACATAACACTATATTACTGATTTACTTACTTATACGTAGTTTTCTTTTTTGCAGTTACAAATATCTTATGAGGTTGAAAAAGGCAGTAATGAAAAAATAATAAGAATAATAATAATTGACGTCAGCCACTTCTTTTCATAAAAATTTCAGATCATGGTCCATTAGGTTGCAGCTTCAGCGAACCACAACTTATAATAATAATAATAACAGTAATAATATAATATTATTTTGTATTTATTTTATTTTATTGATATTTATGTATATTTATCTTTTCATTTTAATTTATAATTTTTATATATTTAAATATTTATATAACCGAACCAGATGAGAAAATTATACGGCTCCAACGATTTTAGCGACGAACGCTTGGATTTATTTTTAGAAAATGTCCTTTTGTCCATGTTTTCAGGCAATAAAAAACTGCTACAATATAAGAAGGTAAATTTCGACAAATCACTAACGGTCGTTATAGCTCAGGTGGTATGGCGGTCGGGCGTGATATCGGAGTTCCGTGGTTCGCGTCTTGGCTTTGGTCCCGCTTTTTTTCCGTTTTTTTTTTTCAAGTTCCCTTCTTTTATGATAAAATCTATTATTTCAAACCCGTTTTTTAGTAATTTTTAAAAATACGAAAATTTTAATTTTAAAAATTTAAAAAAAAAAATCTATTTAGTTACTAATGCTATATTTATTATTTTAATAATTACCTACCCAGTAGGTAAATATTAAAATAATAAATGTATCATTATAAACAGTAAATCTCCCTCAAACTCAATTTACTAATATTGTTCCTAAATAAGGAACAGCAGATAAAAGATTAGTAGGTAATAACTATTGCTCCTCAAAATTATATTTGACCTCAAGGTAAAACATATCCTAAAATTCAGAAGCTAAATAAAATAATAATACCTACTATTCAAGTATATTTTCAATATGTAAGTAAATGAAAATAACAAAAATGAAGCACCATTAGCATGTAAAGTTCGAATCCATAATTAATATTTCGACAAATATTATAATTTACACTATAAAAAGCTAATTCAATATTAGCAGTATAGTATATAGTTAAAAATAATCAAAATAGTCTTTTTTATTAATTAGGTAATATATTAGAATACATAATTCTAATATAATGCAACTAATATATCGAATAAAGAAAATTAAAATACATTTATCATTGTACGCCGTGTCTATTTCCATAGAATAGTTCATTGACATCGAAAAAATAATACTACGTTCGTAGCAGTAGGTGGCGTCTTTTGGCGATTTCTTACGCGATATATTGTAGCGAGCTTCGACAGACCAAACGCTCAAAGTCGTTCGCTGGAGGTAGCGCCTTAATAAGTTAAGTTAAAATTATTATGGCTGTGTCATTGCAATTATGGGGATGTTGCTCTAATGAATCAATTGAAGAAGTTGAACAGTTCATTAATTGTACGCACTGTAATAAATCTTACCATTTTTTATGTTTATCCATTCCTGAAATCGCTAGGAACTCTGAGGCTTATGACAAATGGAAATGTCCGGCATGTATAAATTCAGCACCAAAGACCTCAAAAAAGGACTGCACACCTATTCGTACTATTCCTACGACCAGAGGAAATAAAAGACCGGCATTAAACTCTCCTCCAAAAGCAAGTCCTGTTACAAGTGAAAACGTTCGTACAATTGTCCAAGAGGTTATTAAGAAAGAGTTCAACGATATGCTAAAACAACTAAATAATAGTATGATCGGTGTTATCACTAAGGAGCTGGAACCTATAAAAAACGAAATGAGGGACCTTAAAGAATCTATGTCCTTTATTAATAAAAAATTTGAGGAAATCGAGTCGGAACAGCTTGGAGCTAAAAATCTTTTAAAACACTGCAAGATATAAATTCTCATTTAGGAAATACAGTTTCTGACATGTTGCAACGACTTAATTATTTGGAGCAGCAATCTCGATCCAATAATTTGGAGATTCAGTGTTTGCCTGAAAACAAACATGAAAACTTATACACGACTGTCAAACAGATGGGAATTGTAATTGGATGTGAGTTAAAAGATGAAGATATACTTTACTGTACCCGGATAGCTAAAATGAGTTCTAACAATACTCGTCCTCGATCTATCGTAATCCAATTAGCTTCTCCTAAAGTACGTGATCAGATTTTGGCTGCAGTTATCAGCTTTAATAAATCAAATCCGCAAAACAAACTCAACAGCGTGCACTTAGGTCATACTGGTATCAAAAAACCAGTTTATGTTGTCGAGCATTTGTCTCCATCTAATAAAGCTTTACATGCAGCTGCTAGATTGAAATCAAAAGAAAAAGGATATAAATACGTTTGGGTAAGAAAGGGTAAAATCTTCGTTAGAAAAGATGAAAATTCTGAATATATTTACGTAAGAAACTCGGACACTTTAAGTAAAATAGTATAACTTCACTTCTGTATATCTAAACATCCTTACATATTTTGTGAAAGTAACAGAAATATCAGAATAACATTCAAAAAATTAAAGATATATTACCAGAATAGTAGAGGTTTAAATGCGAAAACACAAACATTTTATCGAAACGTTTGCTGTAATGATTACGATATCATAATTTTGACAGAAACGTGGCTGAATAGAGCAGTTCTGAATAGTGAACTGTTTGATAACAGATACGTGGTATACAGGAGGGATAGAGAAAGTTCCAATCTACAAAGCCGTAAAAAAGGAGGAGGAGTGCTGATTGCTATAAAGAAGAATATTAAATCGAAACGCATTCAGTCTTGGGAAAGTAGCTGTGAAGATTTATGGGTTATTATGGACTTTCCTTTGTCACATTCTATTCGTCAAATTGCTTTTTGTGTAGTTTATTTACCACCACCCGTACGAGGTATTGTACTAGAGCATTATACATATAAATCATTGCAATAACGTTTTTGAACAGATTGTAAACTCACATGTTTGTATTGTGGGGGGATTTCAACTTAAGTAATGTAGATTGGAGTCTTATAGGAAACCAAACCTATACTTCAATACCAAATCTCAGCCAAACATTGATAAATTTTGCTAACGTTAACAACCTCGTTCAATACAATCGTGTGACCAATATAGCCGGTCGTATACTTGATCTTGTTTTAACAACGATCTCATCTTGTAGTGTAAGCAAAACTATTGATGCTTTAAGTAAAATTGACTTACAACATCCGCCTCTTAATATTGTGATACACGGATATAATGAAACTAGATTACCATATAATATCAATAATAAGAGACCAAATTTTTATAAAGCAAATTACGAATTAATCTGTAAATTTTTACGAGAAATAAATTGGGTAGAGAAGTTTGATGGTCTGTGTGATGTGGATGAGTTTCTAGAGATCTTTTACGAAATACTCATTATAAATCGAAAACTTACAAATTTCCAGCTTGGTTTGATCATAAACTTATTAAATTATTGAATGAAAAAAACAGGATACGGAAGCGATATAATAAATATAAAAATCCGTTAGATAGAATCGAATTAAAACTTATAGGCAAGCGTTGTGGAAACTTAGCAACTAAGTGTTACAATCGCTATCTGAAAAAATGTGAAGATAAACTCTCGAAAAATCCCAAACTATTTTGGTCGATGGTGAAAGACAAGAGGGGTGGGTCAAGTACATTTCCGACAACCATGAGCGATGGATCATCTTCCAGCTCAGATAGTTCAGCTATATGTGAAATGTTTACTTCTTTCTTCCGTTTATAGCCCAGAGGATGATGATAGTTATGACGAATGCATGTCCGATTACTTACAATCACTAGTAAATAACAGCTTATGTCTCTCAAATCCAAAAATAGAACATGATACAATTTAAAAAAAAAACTCAAAGGACTAGATAGTAATAAAGGCGCAGGGACAGACGAAATACCACCAATTTTTATAAAAGAATGTGCTTCGGAATTGATATATCCTTTAAAAGTTATTTACAACTTGTCTTTAGCATCTGGCATGTTTCCTTCATAATGGAAAATAGCAAAAGTATTTCCCATACATAAGTCGTCAAATATCGATATCATTTCCAATTATAGACCCATTTCAATTTTGTCAACCTTTGCCAAGGTATTTGAGTCGTTGATTTGTTGATCTTCAACAGCACTTAAGCCTCCATATAAGTGACCATCAGCATGGGTTCTTCAGGTCTCGGTCCACTAGTACGAATTTAGTTCCTTTTACGGTATTCTTGTACGAGGCTATTGACATGGGCCATCAGGCTGATGTTATTTATACCGACTTTAGCAAAGCTTTTGACAAAGTTTCGCATAAGATTTTGATTTCTAAGTTGTGTGCCTACGAGATTTGTGGCTCGTTACTCAAATGGTTGAATTCGTATTTAGTACAAAGGACCTTCTTAGTTGCAATTAATGGTTCTCAATCAAGTACTAAAACTATAAGTTCCGGTGTTCCTCAGGGTTCTCATTTGGGACCAGTCTTATTTCTTTTTTTCATAAATGATATTAAAAATTGTTTTCTGTTTTCAAAATATTTTTTATATGCTGATGACTTAAAATTTATGAGAATAATTAAGAGTGATGATGACACTAAATTATTACAAAGTGACATTGATAGACTAATCCAATGGTGCTGCAACAGCAGAATGGACTTAAATACAAGTAAATGTTATCATGTTAAATACTCCAGAAAACAAAATTTAATACATGTAAATTACTTTATTCATAATACTAAAATTAGGGAAGTAGAGACCATTCGGGATCTTAGCGTAATATATGATAAAAAATTAACTTTTTGTACCCCATTTGGATAACATAATTATGAAAGCATCTAAAATGTTGGGTTTTGTCATAAGAAACTCAAAAAATATGCATTTCAAAACCAAAATATTTCTTTACAACAGTCTAGTTCGTAATATTTTAGAATATTGTAGTGTGGTCTGGAGGCCACACTATGCTGCACATTCATTACGTATCGAACGTGTTCAAAAGCGGTTCCTCTGGCATTTAGCATTTTCTGTTGGTAAAGCAAAAAAAGCTACGGTCATATAATAGTAAATTGCATCATTTTAATTTAGAAACCTTAGAAAGTCGCAGAAAGTATAATGATGCAGTTTTGTACATAAAATATTTAATTCTACATTTAATTGCCCCAGTTTAATGGAACTTTTTAAGTTTCGTGTACCTTCGAGATTACCTCGCAGCTCTATTGCACCACTTAGTCCACCATTAAGAAGAACTGTCTTGGGAAAGAATTCTCCTTATGCCAGGTTCTGCAAAGTTATTAATAGATATAGCGATATAATCGACACACATTCTCTAAGTGTCTCCGTTAATATATAAGTTAATAGCGTAAATTAAAATAGATTTCTTAGTTTTTTTTTAAGTTTTTTTTTTTAGTTTATGCAGCACTAATCTTACTAATAAATATGTATTTAATTTTAGTTGAGAAACAACTTATTGTTTTTCAGTTTTTTTTTATAAAGTAATATATGCATGCGGAGTTTACCTTTAAGTAGGTAATTGTTGCACTTGTGTACTTTTAAGTAATTGTATTAATTTGATGTGTTAGTGTTATCAATTGTTGGTGAACCTAATAAAGAGAAAAAAAAGTTATATTACAAGCTAAAAGAATAACTATAATATATTGACAGCCTCATTGGTTCAGTGGCTGTAAGCGCAACTGCTGGTCATGTTGTTCCGGGTTCGAATAAGGCTAAAATCAGTTATTGGGTTTTTATGTTAAAAATTTAAAAGCACCCCGCAGTCGGGAAGTCGGCATGTATCAATCCCCTGCCTCCGAAATCAGGACCGTTCGTGTCAGATTAAAATACCATCGGACTAGGAGAGTAAAAGAACAGTGAGTGCTCCAGTGCTTGCGAATACAATTTCGTGCACTATAGTCCTGCTCAGCTCGGATAGTCATGTCTGTTGAGATTGACCGCCGTGACATTATTATATTCATCATCATACAGCCCTTCACAAGTCCACTGCTGAACATAGGCCTCCACGAAGGAATGTCACAATGAACGGTCCTGAGCCTGAGCAACTTGCAACCATCGACTTCTTGCATGTCTTACCGGGTCATCACTCCATCTAGTGGGGTGATGCCCTACACTTCATCTTCCGGTACGAGGCTGTCACTCGAGAACCTTTCTTTCCCATCGGATGTCGGTTTACCGAACTATATGGCCGGCCCACTGCCACTTCAGCTTACTAATCCATTGGGCTATGTCGGTTACCATGGTTTTCCTACGGATATCCTTATTACTTTAAAGATAAATTAATAGGCTGTTAGGCATTTTATCTTAGTCCTCAGGGAAGACAACGCGCTGTTTCTTGCTTGATATTGATTGCAGGTGTCATGGCATAAAAAGGGTTCTCTTCACTCACCATACAAAACATAGCAACATTATGCACTATGCTATATTAATATAGTATATCTTAGAGCTGCAGTGTAGCTCTACCAAGTATAGCGTCGTATAATGTAGTTAAAACATTTCAAACCTAATAAATCAATTTGTTGTTACCAGTCCGCTTCCATGGGGTTTACGTTACGCCCATTGAACTTTATTAATGACGTCTTATTAATTGTTATTAAAAGTATCCTGATTCTTATTTGAGGTCATAATTAACTTCTATGCTAAAATTCATTACAGTTTGAATAAAAGGAGAAAAATCTCAAACCTTCAAATGTTTATTAGACAACGTCTGAATTGCCCTAGCTGGCCAGGCAAACTTTGTTCTGCTCTTTCCGATGTCGTTTTGTCCCGTAAAAATTCTTAAATTCGTAATTAAAAAAATATTGAGGATCACTTATCGGGATAAAAACTATCCCATCTCTCAAGATGGACCAAACTGCCCTCAGTGCGCAAATTTTCATTAAAATTAGTTCAGTAGTTTATCGTGGAC